TGCATATGGTTCTACATAGAACACCATTTACTAAAGAACCCTTAAAGAACCATCTTTTCTAAGAATGTACAGTTTGAATTTCAGTGCAGCCGTTAGCCTGAATACGGTCGCATTCCCAGCGTTTGTGCTGAAACAGCCGAACGCAGCGTTTCAGTCCGTCTGTTTTGTTTACACTGAGTGTGTGAAAGTTCAGTGCAGGTGCGACTCACGTTAAAGCCACTTTGATGGAAAATCGAATGTATCCAGTTTCCCCCAATCACCCCAGATGTAGTTGATGACGTGTTTGGTGTCTGAAGTTTGCTTCTTGAGATCTTGCACTGGAGCTACGAGAATAATCTGGCTAAAAAGTAATTAAAGGTTATGTACACCCAATAGCATTACGCTAACTGCACGTCTACATCACCGCTGTATGACACACTGTTATCTATAAATATGGACTAAAGTATGAACAACGTTCAGGCTACGAAATGCTGTTTTGAATGTGCGTTAGTCCGTGTTTATCGGTATCAGTGAGTCATACAGTGTCAGAACCCACATTATCAAGCCTATTAGAGATACTGAACAATTGAACAGTCACATTCACCACCAGTTATCATGTTAGCACCGCGCCTGCCCAAAAATCTCAGACTTGCTTATGTCACGTCAAGTCAAAGTTTATTTATATATATCGCTTTTACAGCAAGTGTTGTCACAAAGCAGCTTTACAGAAAAATCCAGGTCCGAGCCCCCATGAGCGTCGCCAATGGCGACAGTGGCAAGGAGAAACTCCTTAAGAGCAACAGGAAGAAACCCTGAGAGGAACCAAGACTCAGAAGGGGAACCCATCCTCCTCTGGTCGACACCGGACAGCAAACAGCTTTAGTATAAAATATTAAAATACAAAACAGGGAAAAACTGGTGGAGCAATGGTTAATTAGATAGTTTGAGTTTATGCAGCAGCAGCAGGAGGGTCAGTTCATGAGGGTGAGGTTTGCACAGCGTTGTACAGCGTGAAGCTCAATGGTGGTCAAGCCAGTCCAGAAAGCTGAAATGGTCCAGAAGGCTGGCGAGCAGTGGCAGCCGATCAAGGCAGAAGAAGCAGCAGCATCAGACCCACAGGATGGGCAGCTGTTCAACTCAGCAAAGAAAAGGAAACACACAGAGAGTCAGTTCTGTAAAGAGGGACTGATCACAGATTACAGTGTTAACAGAGCAGCAGAGACTCCAGCAGGTCTAGATATTACAGCCTCACTAAGAGGGAGAAACCAGAAAGGTAACAGAGTCATGAGGCTCCCTGAGATGTCGGCTCCACCGTCAGCAAACCTGAGTGAGTGAGTGAGTGAGAGCCGTGGGACGACAGCACCAACACTCCCAGTTTACCATAATACTCTGTGACCATGAACCCCAGATCTGCACTTTTATCTAACAGGGAAAACTAATCACCAAAGGCTCCACTAAACAAGTGGGTTTTTAGCCTAGACTTAAACACTGAGGCTGAGTCTGAGTCCCGAACACTGACTGGAAGATCATTCCAAAGCTGGGGGGCTTTGTATGAGAAGCTATGTGGCAGTATGCGATGATTATTTTTTTAAAAACGTGGTAATGTTAATGATGAAATGAATACAACTAAAAACTGGTGTACACAAGACTCCATTACCTATTAGATACAGTGCTGAAGAAGCAGCTTCAGACGCCAAACATGTCTCAGCTGCTCATTATTAGAGCGAGACGAAGGTGAAAAAGGTGAGACGTGTTGCTTTTCCAGCATTTACAGGCTTTAACTTATGTTCGGTGCTGCTGCCATGGTAACGCTGAATGATGGCGCACATGCAGTGGAAAAAAAGCACATGAATTCATATCTGAGCATCACATTAAAGTCGCATGGCCACGAATGGATACGCGTCCAGTGTGGGACCACATATGAAAGTGGCTGAGGTCGGATTTGACAAGAACACCTTTGTGTGTTCACACAGCTCTAAAAACGTCAGATCTGAGTCACATTTGGGCAAAAAATGTGTGATATCCCAGAGATCCCTGCCTGAAAAAAAGATGGTGAAATTGTCCCCAAAGAAGGTGTTGGGCCGTTTCAGGCATCAACAGAGCCCAAAGTCTTTGAAGTCCATTGGTTATACCTCATCGTGATATGAATAAACAAGAAAGTTGATATAAATGCCTAATAAATAAAGGAAGGAAACCCATATATGGTCAAACTGTTCACCTCACATCTGGTGTCTTAAGCGTTTGCTGCCCTGTAGCTTCAAGGTCATAAACAGTGGTCCACTGTAGTTTTGTCCCCTAGCCAGTCTCAGAGTGAAACAACTGAGATACAGTTTACATCTAAGGTGAAGGAGGGGATGTTAAACTCCTTTAATTGTAGCACCTTCCATTCTAACACATTCCAGAACGTCAGGTTAACCTTCCGGATCACACAGCTTGCAGACACACAGAGAGGGAGCAGTGAAAATCCACCATTAGAGTGCTGTGTGACTGACTGTAAGATCAACCATTAATAAGTGAAATTACTATTTCTGCAAGCACACCAAACTCCGGACGCAATTTAAACCAGAAAACAGAATCAGGTTTATTCAAAGTCTCAATGGGTTAATGGCTTTGTATGCAAGCATAGACCAAAATAATAAAGCAAGCAAAACCAGAAAATAAAGTAAAACAGAAATACCCCAGGCTAACACCCTGCTCAGAAACAGGAGATAAAGGTAACCAAAAAACAAATGGTGCTCGTCACCCACTTTCACCCAAAATCACAGTGTAAGAAGGCAAGTAAGCAAATAAGTCATATATAGCTTTCAAGAATTTAGCAAGAGCAGTGAAGTGAGGAGTGAAGAGTGCCGGGCTGGACTGAATAGGTGGCCTTCCAGATCACATCAGGAGGGAGAGCAGAGCCAGATTAGGGGAGCCTGGCCGCTTCCTATTCCTCCCATTATATCAAAAACATGTGAAATGGCAGAGAGCAAGTCCTGAATGAATTTGGGGTAAATGGAGCTCAACACCTAAATGAAAAGTTAAAATAGTTTCTAATCACTCACCCAGAACTTTCCTTTAATTTTAGACAGTAGGAGGATGAATTTCACTAAAACAGCAAAGAAATCTCACCTGTATGTTTCCTTTGCTACAGCAAACAGGTTTTAGGCAGCAGGACACTAATATCACTGCTACTGAGTGATGATTGGTTAGCGTTACTGCTACTGAGTGCTGATTGGTTGGCATTACTGCTACTGAGTGCTGATTGGTCGGCGTTACTGCTGCTGAATGCTGATTGTTTAGCATTACTGCTACTGAGTGCTGATTGGTTAGCATTACTGCTACTGAGTGCTGATTGGTTAGCATTACTGCTACTGAGTGCTGATTGGTTGGCATTACTGCTACTGAGTGCTGATTGGTTGGCATTACTGCTACTGAGTGCTGATTGGTTGATTGGAAGCTGGTCAATCATAATATTGCAGAACCCGTGGTGTGTATAGAAGAACCGTTGTGTGTATTTATGTGTTTAAATGTGTTTGCGTTGGTGTTGTAGGGATCTGAAGCTGGATAACGTGCTACTGGATAAGGACGGTCACTGTAAGCTGGCCGACTTCGGCATGTGTAAGGAGGGAATATTTGAGGGCGCTGCTACCGGAACGTTCTGCGGAACTCCAGATTACATCGCTCCTGAGGTGGGTTCCACACTTAACATCCATCTGCTCTTATTGTTTAACTATTAGAACACCAGCGGGGAACGAAAGCATGCTGCTGTTTTCTATGAACTGTTTCTGACTCGTGGCTCATTGAAATAAGTGGAGAAATTGTGTGGTAAGTGCTGATTGTAAACGTTCAGTCTCGACCACATTCGTGTTTGTAAGTAGAAGAGGAGATATTTTATTTTGATTTCAATTTGTCCCACATATACATATATTTCCTCGTATTAAAAATATATGTGCAGTATATGTGATGTTTTAAAATTTGTTTAAAGTGTGTAAATTCATAAATATATGACATTTATATGCACAAATATATCAATATATTTAAATATAAGCAAATAAACAATAAAAGGCTTTTATTGTTGGCTTCAATACTCCACACAGTCACTCTGACAGACTGTAATACACTGCAGGAAGTGTAGGGGGCGATATGGCTTCTACTGTTTCAGTTAAAAAGCCTCTATAATGTTCATATGATGCACACAGTCATTCTGACAGACTGTAATACACTACAGGAAGTGTAGGGGGCGATACGGCTTCTACTGTTTCATTTAAAAAGCTCTATAATGTTCATATGATCCACACAGTCACTCTGACAGACTGTAATACACTACAGGAAGTGTAGGGGGCGATATGGCTTCTACTGTTTCATTTAAAAAGCTCTATAATGTTCATATGATCCACACAGTCACTCTGACAGACTGTAATACACTACAGGAAGTGTAGGGGGCGATATGGCTTCTACTGTTTCATTTAAAACGCTCTATAATGTTCATATGATCCACACAGTCACTCTGACAGACTGTAATACACTACAGGAAGTGTAGGGGGCGATATGGCTTCTACTGTTTCATTTAAAAAGCCTCTATAATGTTCATATGATCCACACAGTCATTAAGACAGACTATACACACATTACACTGTTAATTGATTAGAGAAAACCGTTAGTCTCAGCTTAGTGACGTTGCGCTAATCTACACTGTCATATGTGTGTTTGTAGATCCTGCAGGAGATGCTGTACGGGCCGTCGGTTGATTGGTGGGCTCTGGGCGTGCTCCTTTACGAGATGCTGTCAGGCCACGCCCCCTTTGAGGCAGAGAACGAGGACGACTTGTTTGAGTGCATCCTGAACGAGGAGATCATCTATGCCTCCTGGCTCAGCGCCAACGCTGTGGACATCCTGAAAGCTGTGAGTGCCGTTCAACAGCTGCCCGGACCTTTATGATTAACAGTGCTAACGATTTGCAGAAAGTCCTCTATTAGTTACTGTTGCTGTGTCTGTCAAACCTTCAGCTCAAGCTGCCTGGCTTAGTAGCATAAAGGAAGGTTTAGAAGGGCACATAGTTCATTTTAAAACATTTTTAATGCAGAAAATAATGAACAAAATATCAATCAAATGTCAATTTAAAGCACAAAAAGGATTCTTGAAATTATGATAACATGAATCAAAGGAGCAGGGTTTCATGTCTAATCAGGAGGAGATCTGACAGAAGCTGCCCCTTCAGATGAGTGAATGCTGAAGCTAACACTGGATCTAGTTGGTGCACTGTTAGCTGCTGAAGAGGACTCGTCATTCTTTACTCGAAATGTTTTATCAAACTTTACTGAAACAGTACAAATGATTGCGTACAATGTTCAATCTTTTCTTTCCACAGAATGTTTTCTTTGCAAATTTGAGAGCTGAACTGTGCTGTTTAAACTGTCAAAGACTACGCTAGAAAACGTTAACTTAACGCTCACTTATCTGAACATTTTTCTCTGATGTTATTTATCGTTTGAAGCGCATTTCTGAACTGGATTATCACAAAGAGAGAGAAACAGATATGGAAACATCAAAACTGAGTTGCTGGATCCCAGAAGGTTAAGCTGGAGGTCACTGGTAGACTTGGATCAATAATGTGTGATGTATTTCTGATATTATTTGAACAGTTGCTACTTTGGGAACACTAGGTGGAGCTAGACAGGAAGGGAGAGAGACAGCTCAGGAGAGTTTTTCCTCTTTTTAACAGCCAGGTTTGCTGTACTGTAATGCAGCATACAGTCCAAACGCAGCTGTTATTTCCTCCTAATGAAGCTCGAAACCACATCGAAATCCGTGAGCTGGACGTTTGGGCTCGTTGTTCCAGATGTTTCACTGCAGGTCTGGTTGGACAGAGATTAGGAACTCACTGACCGCTCTGTTGCAGTTTGTTATTTGCCTTTGTTTCTGATATCAAGCGAATCCTGCAGTGAGGTGATCGGTCACTTTAATTGTGTAATGATTCTCTCAGGGCCCTCCCCCTCTCCCTCCCCCCACTCAGCCCAGGGCTCGTAGCGGAGGCAGAATGGTCTGCAGAGTTTAGGGTCAGTTTTGATCGAGCGACTGGCCTTCATGTGATCTGAGTAAGCTCAGGCTATTATTAAACCTCTACTAAATCTCTCTCTCTCTCTCTCTCTCTCTCCTCTCTCTCTCTCTCTCTCTTATGTAACAAACACATCACAATCCACAACTCAACTACAGCTAAAAATAAAATCCTCGGCCCCCCCCACATGCAAAACACGTGCACACGCTGCAGACCCCTCAGCCCCACTTTATTACCTCCAGACCAACACAGATTACATAACACTTATTTATTTATTTATTTATTTATTTATTTTCCTTCTTTATGTGGTCAGTTTTTATGTTGTAATTGTGTGATTCTCTTTCTTTTTCTCTCGGTTTTTTCTCTCTTTTCCATCCTGTTTCTTTTTCTTTCTCTTTATTTCTCTCTGCCTCTCTTTTTCCTTTTTCCCTTTTTCTTTTATTCTCTCTCTGTTGTGTTTCTACAGTATCCACAGCGTTGATCTCTGTTTCATTCTTTCTCTATTCTCTCTCATCACTCTCTTTCTCTCTTTCCCTCTCCCTCTCATTCGTTCTTTCTTTCCTCCTCTATCTCTCCGTCTTTTTTTTAATCTGTCTTTCTTTGCTGTGAGTCTGGCTTCATTAATTGTTGGACACTTTTGTCTTTAAAAGAGTGTTTGTGTGTTTATTTCATTGTGGGATCTAATCATTTGTTTTGAGAGAGAGAGAGAGAGAGAGAGAGACATTTAATCAGCTCAGCCAAATGTCATCATCATTTGTCAAACTTCAGTCGGCGCCCTGAGCTACGCTGGCACTTCTTTATTTATTTTACTTTTTTTTATTTTAATTTGTTTTGCCCTTTAACGCCAGAGGGGCGTCTGAGCCCCAAAGCAACGTCTCTCCCTCTGTCTCTCTCTCTGTCTCTCTCTCTCTCTCTCTCTCTCTCTCACCTGATTGATATATGTTTTTGTTATTGCTCTAAATTCCATCACAGCACTGTTTTTGTGAGTGTATGATGGGATGATCAGTCTGTCACTGAACAACTGACTGGATTGTAAAGACAGGCTGAGACCCAGTATAGAGAGCCTGTAAACAACAACAGCCAGTGTACAGTAACTGTATAAACTACATAGCAATCAAGCAGCTGATTGGATATCAGGTTGATCTTATTTCATTCCTTTATAACGACTAATCGACTAATTGATCCCGACCCATATGACCAACCCCGGCTTTATTGCTGTCTGCTGAGCTGTTTCCATTAACGACTGTCTGTCTTGGTCACACTGTTGACAGTGTGAAATGTTTCTAAACATTAGTGTGAGAAATAAATGTTTTCTATAAAGAAAACTGGACAGTCCCCTGTAGATTATATACAGATGTTGTACAAGTTGTTCACAAACTGTTTAAAACTCTAAACAGTGGTGGGGTTAGGGTCAGGATTTGGACCAGAGTGAGGGCTGGGTTTAGGTTTTGGGTTGAGGTTAAGGTTAGAGTTCGGATTAGAGCAGGTTTAGAGTGAATTTAGTAGATATTTATTTGAGTGTAACTTGAAAGTAAATTACGTATCTGCTGTTTCACAGATTTAAACTATATCTAATTAATCATTGCTTCACCTGTTTTTCCCTTTGTGTATTTTAATACTTTATACTAACACTGTTTGCTATCCGGTGTTGATCAGAGGAGGATGGGTTCCCCTTTTGAGTCTTGGTTCCTCTCCAGGTTTCTTCCTCTTACTCTTAGGGAGTTTTCCTTGCCACTGTCGCCATTGGCGACGCTCATGGGGGCCAAATAAGAAAAATAGGTAGAAATTAACAGAAACCAACGAGTTTAAGATGTGTGACTACTGAGAACTGAATCATGTCAGTCAGTCAAAACCTAAAACCAAAATGGTAACTTTACAGGAGCTAGAAAAAAAATGACTTAACTTTTTTTCAAGTAATTTTGGGGCATTTCTATTGGTTCATCCATCATAAAAATGTAACACAACGCAAAGTGTAACTGTTGTTTTCAAACGATATAAAAAAGTAAAAAATGACAAAAATATACAGATATAAAACTGACGATATATTTGCTGATATTATTGATTATCAGATCATATTTTTAGCTTGTTCAGATCAGTCAGGCCGTAGTTCGTAAGTACATAGTTTATTTTTTCCACATTTTATAATCATTTTATCATTTTTTTGGTGAAAATGTGGAACATGCTTTATTTTGTCAGTTCCAGCTCGTTCTGAAACTCAGTTCAGTCCTGTGTAGTGAAGTATCGTGACGTTGTGATTGTGCCGTAATGAAAGCCTCTGTTGTAGCTTATAGTCCCTGCCTTGATGGAAATGGAGTAACCCAGCCTGCGCGGTTCTCCTGCCGTTCCTGCGCTGTGGAGAATATTACACAGCCGGCCTTTGAGTTAGTGGTTTTTGTTTGATCAGCGTTTTGAGAAAAGCAAAAAATTGCTGAGGCCAGCACACAAACTTTTGAAGTATTAATGCTGCACGACTGCAGGGAGAAGTGTTCGTTATTCTGAGTTACGTCTAGTTAGTGTGTCCAGAGCATTCAGAGCTCCACCTGACCACTAGCAGTTAAAGCGATAGTTTGGCAAAAAGCACTTCTGGACAGTTTTCCTCCTCTTACACTCTTAAAAAGACGGTTCCTCAGGGATTCCTTAAGACAAGAAAGGACAGTGGTTCTATGTAGAACTATGAACACTCAAAGAACCATTTACATGCTTAAGTGGTTCTTTGTAGGGTGCAGTGGTTCTTCAGACTGATGGACAATGTGGTGCAGTGGGTTCTATAAAAAGCTGAAACTTTCACATAGTTTTGACTTGACTCTTAAAAAGATGGTTCTTCAAGAGTTCTTGAGTATAGAAAATGGTTCTGTGTAGAACCATGAACACTTTAAGAACCCTTTGCATGGTTAAAGCGTTCTTTGCATCATAAAAGGGGTTTTCAGATTGATGGAGAATGTGCATAAATGTGCTATAGATGGTTCTATATAGAGCCTTTTTGAAAAGCGCTTGACATCATAACTATAGAAGAACCCTATTGTGTGCTATATAGAACCCTTTTCAAAGAAGTTTTATACAGAACCATCTACAGCACGTTCTCCATCAATCTGAAGAACTACTTCACCATACAAAGACCCCTTTAAACTTGCAAAGGGTTCTTTGAGTGTTCCTTGTTCTATATAGAACCTTTTCATTACTAAAGAACTCTTGAAGAACCATCTTTTTGAAGAGTGTATTTTTTGCAGATTCACTACTATTTTGCCATCATGCTCATTACATGCAGAAGCTCTCGTCAGTTCAATGCCTCACAGTAGCAGAGCTGCAAACTGGCTTTTGAGTTTTTCCCTCAGTGGAGGAATATATGACCTCAGAGTAATTTGGGGAAGCGCTGTGTCATCACTGTGACCCAGCTGCATCTCAGATGAGTGTGAGACGGAGGCCAGAGGGGTGTGTGTCCTTGTGTGTGTGTGTGTGTGTGTGTGTGTGTGTGTGTGTGTGTGTTTGACGTGGTCATATTCAATCTTAGATCCATACTGTAGATAATCCTACTTCTCCTGTAATCTCCTGTTTAATCCCCATTCAGAGTTTATTGTGGGGTCTATGGAACTGCAGTCAGGTCTAAACCTGCTGCAGCTGGTCAATGTAGAACAAGGAAGAAGGAATGGTCACACGATTTGAACAGAGAGAGAGAGAGAGAGAGGGAGAGAGAGGAGAGAGAGAGAGAGAGAGAGAGAGAGACTGCTAATTCTGTTCTGAGAGATGAAAAGGTTCTGGATGTGTTTACATCTCTTCATAACTAAAGTGATATACTCATATATGTATACATGCAAAAGGACAGATATGATTTCTCCACAAGTTCTACAGTTTCTCATTCTGACTCTAAATGTAGGTATTGTGATATAAACTGAGTCTGTTCTACAGATTCTCATTAGGCTGAATGAATAACCGACTCTAAATGTAGGTATTGTGATATAAACTGAGTCTGTTCTACAGTTTCTCATTAGGCTGAATGAATAACCGACTCTAAATGTAGGTATTGTGATATAAACTGAGTCTGTTCTACAGTTTCTCATTAGGCTGAATGAATAACTGACTCTAAATGTAGGTATTGTGATATAAACTGAGTCTGTTCTACAGTTTCTCATTAGGCTGAATGAATAACCGACTCTAAATGTAGGTATTGTGATATAAACTGAGTCTGTTCTACAGTTTCTCATTAGGTTGAATGAATAACTGACTCTAAATGTAGGTATTGTGATATAAACTGAGTCTGTTCTACAGTTTCTCATTAGGTTGAATGAATAACTGACTCTAAATGTAGGTATTGTGATATAAACTGAGTCTGTTCTACAGTTTCTCATTAGGTTGAATGAATAACTGACTCTAAATGTAGGTATTGTGATATAAACTGAGTCTGTTCTACAGTTTCTCATTAGGTTGAATGAATAACTGACTCTAAATGTAGGTATTGTGATATAAACTGAGTCTGTTCTACAGTTTCTCATTAGGCTGAATGAATAACTGACTCTAAATGTAGGTATTGTGATATAAACTGAGTCTGTTCTACAGTTTCTCATTAGGCTGAATGAATAACTGACTCTAAATGTAGGTATTGTGATATAAACTGAGTCTGTTCTACAGTTTCTCATTAGGCTGAATGAATAACTGACTCTAAATGTAGGTATTGTGATATAAACTGAGTCTGTTCTACAGTTTCTCATTAGGTTGAATGAATAACCGACTCTAAATGTAGGTATTGTGATATAAACTGAGTCTGTTCTACAGTTTCTCATTAGGCTGAATGAATAACCGACTCTAAATGTAGGTATTGTGATATAAACTGAGTCTGTTCTACAGTTTCTCATTAGGTTGAATGAATAACTGACTCTAAATGTAGGTATTGTGATATAAACTGAGTCTGTTCTACAGTTTCTCATTAGGTTGAATGAATAACTGACTCTAAATGTAGGTATTGTGATATAAACTGAGTCTGTTCTACAGTTTCTCATTAGGTTGAATGAATAACTGACTCTAAATGTAGGTATTGTGATATAAACTGAGTCTGTTCTACAGTTTCTCATTAGGTTGAATGAATAACTGACTCTAAATGTAGGTATTGTGATATAAACTGAGTCTGTTCTACAGTTTCTCATTAGGCTGAATGAATAACTGACTCTAAATGTAGGTATTGTGATATAAACTGAGTCTGTTCTACAGTTTCTCATTAGGCTGAATGAATAACCGACTCTAAATGTAGGTATTGTGATATAAACTGAGTCTGTTCTACAGTTTCTCATTAGGCTGAATGAATAACTGACTCTAAATGTAGGTATTGTGATATAAACTGAGTCTGTTCTACAGTTTCTCATACAGCGTTCTGTAAATCTTTTTCAACTTCTCAACAGTAGCTGTGAAAATGTGCATTTGTGGGCAGATCCTGGATGGGTCAACAGGAGGTTGTGTAATCTAAGCATAAAGTGACCTCACTCTGTTTTGTCTGCAGTTCCTGACGAAGAACCCCTCTCGTCGTTTGGGCTGCGTGCCGATGGACGGCGGGGAAAATGCCATCACCAGCCACGCCTTCTTCAGCACCATCGACTGGGATAAGCTGAACAAGCGGGAGCTGGAGCCGCCCTTTAAACCTCGGATCGTGAGTCAGATTCAAGATAGACTCAGACTCAGTTGCATGAGTTCAAGCAAAAACTTAGCATCATGAGTCAGCGGCATAGTCAGAATTATTCACACCCCTTCAAAAATGCACTGTACTCATCAGACTCAGGGCAGAGAATAAAACGTGCAGTTGCATTCAGTACCAGTCAAAAGTTTGAACACACCTGCTCATAGAAGGTTTTTACTATATATTGCACTGTATTATTTTGTAGTAATAATGAAGACATCAGAACTATGAAATAACACATTTGGAATTACGCAGTGACCAAAAAGTCCAAATCTTCTACAACCCTATTTCCAAAAAAGTTGGGACGCTGTGCAAAATGTAAATAAAAACAAAATGCAATGATTTTTAATATGATTAAAACCGTATATTTAATTGAAAAAAGTACAAAGACAACGTATCAGATGTTGAAACTGAGAAATTTTGTTTTTTGAAAAATGTTTGCCCAATATTTTGCCAACAACACGTTCCAAAATTCAAGAATATGTTTCTCAACATAAAATAGCAAAGAACTTCTGCTTTTCATCATCTGCAGTACATAATATCATTAAAAGATTCAGAGAATCTGGAGAAATCTCTGTATGTAAGGCCAAAAACCAGTATTTGCTGGCCGTGATCTTTGGGCTCTCAGGCAGCACTGCATTAAAAACAGACATGATTCTGCAGAGGAAATCACTGCATGGGCTCAGAAACACTTCAAAAGCCAGTATTCATGCTGATATAAGGGTGCATTAGTGCACATGGCATGGGTGACGTGCTCATCTGTGAAGGCACCATTAATGCTGAACAATATATACATGTTTCGGCAACATATGCTGCCATCCAGACAACGTCTTTTTCAGGGAAGGCCTTGATTATTTCAGCAAGACAGTATCAAACTGCATTCTGCTTGTATTACAGCAGCATTGCTCCATATTAAAAGACTCTGGGTGCAAAACTGACCTGCCTGCAGTTGAAATGGAAAATACGACAAAAGAGACCCTGAACTGCTGAGCAGCTGAAACCTTGTATCAAACAATTATGAGAAAGCATTTCACTTTCAAAACCATAGCAATTGGTCTCCTCAGTTTCCAAATGCTTACAGAGTGTTGTTAAAGGAAGAGGTGATGAAACACAGTGGTAAACAGGCCCCCGTCCCAACTTTTTTGGAATATGTTGTTAGCATTAAATTCAAAATGGGCATATATTTTTAAAAAAACAATAACATTTCTCAGTTTCAACATTTTATTTGTTGTTTTTGTACTATTTTCCTTTGAAAATATGGTTTACATGATTTGCATATCATTGCATCCTATTTATTATTTACATTCTGCACAGCATTCCAACTCTTTTGGAAATGGGGTTGTATTTTAGATCGTTCAAAGTCGTCCCCCTTAGCTGTGATCTGGCTTTTCGCGCTGTTAGCATATTTTTACACTTAAAATGCTTGTTTTGGAAATTAATTTGTAAAAAGACAGAAGTCTTTAAGGTTATAACACATTCAGTCAAGTGAGTACATGCTAGACTTCTTAATTGTGAAATAATTTATCTTTTTTTCTTTTTTTTTGCACAGAAAACACCGGAAGACGTCAACAACTTTGACCCGGACTTCACGCAGGAAGATGCCATCCTTACGCCCATCGAAGACCCCTTAATCCCGTCCATCAACCAGGATGAGTTCCGCAACTTTTCTTTCACTTCTCAGGAGCTGCTGCAGTATTGCCCACCTTAGACCACCAGAGGGCGCTGTAAAGGAAAATACACAGCCGTAAACTGTCATAGAGGGCCGACGGCATCGAGGCAGTTGAATTTAATATCACAGTGGAAGTTATGGAAAGTTACATTGGAGCCAGAAGAGTATTCGGTTGCATCAAAATGAGCTAAAGCTATCATGACTTAGCTAAAGCTAGTGCTGTGGATGAGAGTTTGTGCTGCGCTGACAGAGGTTATGATGGGATTTCTTGTCATTTCTCACTGGAAACTGCAATAAAATGAACTGTGTTGCAGTTTTGCATCTGAAGAGGTCAAACTGCTCCCGGATTTATGTCACATCAGAAGTGTGGTTTCATCTGTTTTGGTTTTAACGCAAGTTTCTGTTTGATGAATTTTTATTGCAGCTGTTTTTTAATGTCGCCTTGGAAGTGCCTTTAATCGTGCAGGATGATGCGTGTTTTAAGCAATAATGCTTTTAATGAAATGTTACGGACTCCATTTCTGGCTGACTTTCTTGCTTGGACAGATACAGTTCAGGCATTTCCTTCCTGTGACTGAAATAATTGGGAAATAACAGGGCAGGACTTAATGTGTGGTGAAAGCAGCCAGTCAGACTCACTCCAGACTGAAACTGCAGCAGATGTTATTTCGGAACTGAAGACTGCTGGGTTCATCGAGACCGCTTCCAAAGTCCTTGCGAAGGCACTTATGCTTCTTGATTTTTCTGCTTTAACTCTCTGAATTGTTTCCAGCAAACTGATGTAACGAAATATCAGTGTTTCCAGTGCACTGAACTCCTTGACCTGCAGGTTTGGGGCTATCTGAGCGGGTATCAGAGGGGTATTGGAGATATCTTAGAGTATTAGAGGGCATTTGGGGCTCTATGAGGGGGTATTATAGGTGTACTGGGGTTATCAGAGCGGTATAGGGGTGTATCAAAGGGGTATTGGGGGTGTCTGGGGGTATCAAAGAGATATTTTACCTTCGTGAGGGGATTTCAGAGGGTTATTTGGGGGTATCAGAGGGGTATTAGGGCTCTATGAAGGGGTATCGTGTACTGGGGGTATCAGAGGTATAAGGGTTATTGATGGGGGGGTGTCTGGGGGTTGTCCGAGGGATATTTTGCATATGTGAGGGGTTTTCAGAGGGGCATTTGGGTGTATTGTGTTTTGGGGGTATCAGAGAGGGTATCAGAGGGGTATTAGAGGGGGTATTACTGGGGTATCAGTGTCATAGGGAGTATCAAAAAGGGTATGAGAGGGCTGAACAGTATAGACAAAATATGTGGCATAATTTAAGATCAGAATTATTTTGACTAAAATAATTTTCATTTATCAGGACTTAAACTGTTCACACGGTGAAAAAACACTGAACAGTGATTGCTGAGGGGGCTCATTTGCATATTACAGCCTTCTGCGATATCACTATTGCTAAGGTCAATATTGTGATAATGATTAGCAAATGAGATATTGTGCAGCTCCATTATGGTGGGTTTAGGGGGGAACAAGCACTTAAGGGTTGGTTACACTTGTTCTGGTACATTTAACATTGTTGTAGCGTGATGTAAGTTAAAAATGTATTTCTGTCCTACTTCTCAGGTTTATGGTTTGTTTATTAAATCTTTCATTTTTACATTGTTATTTTTTTGTTGCTTTGTGCGTTTTTCCCTTTCGTAAACTGGAGCAGCAGTTTCTCAGGTCAGTGAGGTCACTGGAAGCACTTCTGTGGAGTCGATGGAATTTTTAAAGAGCTTTTGTCACTTTTTTGTTGTTTTTTTTTTAACCGTCAAAGGTGTTAGACTGATATCCAGCCCAAGATCTGCAAAAAAAAACTTCTGAATAAAAGTTTTTTTATGAGTTTGTGTCCCAGAATGAGAACTGTTTGCAGTATTGGACCATTTTAATTCTGGGTAAAGTGAAACAGTCGTGCTGCTTGATTTGTGTGGTCCTTCACAGCTGCCAGTGGGTTACCAGAACAGCCCAGCGCCTGGGACGTGGAATCGTGAGTGTGAAATATTTTCGCTACGATGAGGACGGTGTGAGAGAGACTAGAGCGAGAGAACCCCCTTGTGGTCAGTAAACTTTTCTGCTTCATTAAGATGGTCAGTGACACAGCGCCACGCCAGGAGTACGGCCGGCGCAGCAGTGAGTGTCATACCTCTGATGGGAATTTTCTCCACCCATGACACCTTTTGGAATTCATGTGTGTATATTACACGTCCAAAAGCCTGTAGACACTTGCTCCTCCTGCGTTTCTTCTGAAATCAGTGGTATTAATTATACCCAGAGGTATTGAATGGATCTCTTTCACTCCAGAGAACCCAAAAAAATGCATGTCCTTTACACTTAAATTGGAAGTTCACTGATTTTTCAAAAATCCTCCATAAACTGAATGGATACAATGTAAACAGAGCGGTTCAGAGTGGTTTGGTGTGAAACGCTCTATTCTAGACAAACTTGCCGAGTCAGAACTGTTCACAGTGGTGGTGATAGGAACCAGACGTCCACCTCTAAAAGCTCCCTCACAAAAAGTTACCACAGGAAATGGTTAGTTTTGAGATTTCGGTCTTTTACATCCTGCCATGGTGGAGGGATACATGCAGGACGTTATGAGACAAAATAGTCCCCAAAGAAAACTTATTACTTCAGATTTTCCATAGAAAATATATCCATAGATTTTCCATGGATAGTAAATAAAATGTCTATATTTGTGTTGTAGTCATGGCGACCCCTGGTTCCCATCACCACCACTGTAAAGACATCTGAACCATTTCACACCAAACCACTCTGAATCTCTCTGTTTACGTCTCACACACTCAGTTAAGCAAGAAATTTGAAATATTGGTGGAATCCCCCTGTAAAGAGGGATGTTGACAGTTCCTGAGTTGATTCAAACAAAAATGTGATTCATAAGGTGGTTCCCTGTCTTTTTGAGCGGAAAAAATCCTCCAAATCTCCAGAAGCTTCTCTCGCTGTGTGTTACTGGCCGGTGTCTCGGTGGTGAATTTGCTCAGACCTGCTCGGAGAATGGAAAATTCCAGTTTGGAGCGAGCAGAGAGCCTCGGCTTTGACGGAGGAGCCAAATATGGTGTTTTACAGCAGAGTTGGGAGGGAAGGTTTTATAACACTGTTAGAACAGGTTAGTCACAACTCCGTGTGAAGTGTCATCCAGCAAAACGTTACAGTCTACAGATTAGACTAATGTACTCCCTACAGGTTTTAAAGGGCAAGCTTCATCCAACACAGTGTGGTTTTGTTAAGGATTTAAAATAAAGACCAACATGAATTTATGTACTTAGTATGTTTAAAACAGTTAAAATGGTGTCATGTCAAGTAAAATTATCTTAAAATAGCCAATAAATCTAAGATTTCTCCTGCTGAGATTGTTATAAGATTAATTTTAGATTATTTACCTTATTTCTAGATATGTTTTTACTTGTTTTAAGCAATTTTATTAAGTACAATTTTCTCACTATAACCAGAAACATTATCTGCCAGTATAGTGAGATAATTTTACTTGATAAAATGACCTAAAACAAGTTAAAATGTCTAGAAATATGGAAGATAATCTTATAATAAGTGCACAATCATCAAAATGGGAAATATTCGATTCATGATCTAGATTTAAGATCATTTCACTTGACAAGCGACCATTTTTTGCAGCATTCTCTCATAATTGTATGAATGGGCTGTAGTGGGTTCACCAAGAACACAAGCTGAAACTGCTACTATCAGGGGCACGGGAAGGTTTTTTAAAGGAATATTTTGGCAAAAAATACATGATTTTCCACTTTTCCCAAGTCCAGCTGACCAGCCAAGACAGTTTGTCTTGTTTCTTTAGCTTAAAACTGGAGCTGTGAGGAGATCAACACATTGTACATTTCCAGTTACACTGGAAATCAATAGTCACCCAAACCATTTCCATAAATACATCCCCAAAACGTCTCTCGGACGGCTCGAACCACATCCAGGACTTAATCCAGTTTGCAGAGACACGTCATTAAAGAGTCAGCAGCCATTTAGAATAACTGCAGTCACCTCCTTTCTGAGCGCAACCAAAGACAGAGCTACACAAACACACTGTAGAGTAACGCAGGTAGAGAAGCTGAAGTCACTGTGCTCAGAAAAATGTCCAGTTACAAATCTGAGGACTGCGTTTTCTGCACAAATGAGCCTCAACTGAATGTGTTTCAACCTGAATATACACAAGAAAAAACACACTGTGAAAATGAGAGATCAGCTCAACTCAAAATGATGTAGTAACTGATGACATGGCTTTTACTGAGTTGACTCAAGTTGAGGACACCACAGTTCACACAACTCAAACTTCTTAGTTAGGTTCTCTTAGTTTTTTGGTTCTCAGTTTGGTAAATAAAATAAATTTGTTTTTTTATACTTACCTTCCTCACTAGCCAGAACTCTTTCCATCACACAATCCTGCTGGATATTTCTCCTCTTGCGTACACACTTACAGATGGCTGTGGCATCACTGGGGCTCAAACTCACAACCTCATGTTGGGGTGACGGTTCAGTCCACTGCACCACTCAGAAACACATGAAGCAACTCAGATTTTGTGTGGTGCAGCTGTTTAATAATTCATCCCAACATCAGGAGGTTGTGAGTTTGAATCCCGGCAATGCCACAAGTGACTATATCCAGTAGCCCGAGAGGAAAACATGCCAGATGGGACTGTGTGATAGAAGGAGCGCCAGCTAGTGGGGTAACCTGCAAACTTCTTCTTCAAGGGTTCTTTAGTAAAGTCAGTGGTTCTATATAGAACCATGAACCCTCAAAGAACCATTTGTATGATTCAAAGAGTTTTTACATGGTGAAATGGTTCTTCAGATTGATGAAGAATGTGTTCTATATGGTTCTATATAGAACTAAAAAGGGCTCTTTTTTTGTTATGATGTCAAGCTTGTAACAGTACGAGAACTTTTTTGGTGCTATATAGAACCATTTTCAAAAATAGAACCATAAACAACACATTCTCCATCAATCTGAAGAACCATTTCACCATGCAAAGGCACTTTTTAAGCATGTGTATGCATGGTTCTATATAGAACCACTGTGTTTACTAAAGAACCATTCTTTTTTAAGAGTGTGTAAAACATAAAATATAAGTACAAACTAAAACAAGCCCACATGCACCTTTACTATGAGCTCAGATTGTTTTTGTGGTCAGGTCTTCATTTATTTATATTTATATTTTTTAAATGATTATTTTTAGCAGTCGCGTTTAAACAATCCTGAAATCTGGGGGGGCGCTGCAGCCACCCCCCACCCCCTTCTACATCCCCTGCTGCTGGTGTTTTTATCAATGTGCCTTCCTTTTATTCATGAATACACACAACAGTGAGTCATACAGTGTCAGAAACCACATAATCAAGACTATTAGACACTGAACACCTCCAGACGCTTTGATTTCTGGCCAAACTGTTCCTTTAAGAGGAGCAGTGTTTGTGTTTCACTGTTGTAGTAAAGCGATATGAGTGAACGTAATGAGTGATGGTTAGGAAAGGCGTGTTACTGATACGAGGGCAATTACAGCCACGGTGTTGCTCTGACCCTCACTGTTACTATCAACAGAGCTAAAACGATAGCGCAGCCTTTCTGCGCCCTCTTTCTCTCCCTCTGTCCCTCTCTCTCTATTTTTAGTCTGTCTCTAGAGCTGTGCAGTCCTCAGGAGCAGCTGTAGTTGTAGGATAAACAATAGAAGAGGATGTGGTCCAGCTAAAACATTCATTATGCCAGTTCAAGCGTTTATATTTCTGCACTTAATCGCTGCCATTGCTGAGAGAGATTTTAACCTCTTTAAGGCCGCTTTGTGCTTTCATTGACTTTTTTATCAATCGGCCACAACACAGTGGTTCACCCGCCCTGACTTTCTGTGAGCTTTGGCTTTAGTAACTGTTGGCCACTTTATTAGAAACACCCGTCTTGTGGGTCCACTCACTGGACACTTTATTAGAAACACCCACCTTGTGCTTCCACTCACTGGCCACTTTATTAGAAACACCCGCCTTGTGCTTCCACTCACTGGCCACTTTATTAGAAACACCCACCTTGTGCTTTCACTCACTGGCCACTTTATTAGAAACACCCGCCTTATGCTTCCACTCACTGGCCACTTTATTAGAAACACCCACCTTGTGCTTCCACTCATGGCCACTTTATTAGAAACACCCACCTTGTGCTTCCACTCACTGGCCACTTTATTAGAAACACCCACCTTGTGCTTCCACTCATGGCCACTTTATTAGAAACACCCACCTTGTGCTTCCACTCACTGGCCACTTTATTAGAAACACCCACCTTGTGCTTCCACTCACTGGCCACTTTATTAGAAACACCCACCTTGTGCTTTCCACTCGCTGGCCACTTTATTAGAAACACCCACCTTGTGTTTCCACTCACTGGCCACTTTATTAGAAAACACCTACTTTATAGGTCCACTATAGGCTCTACAGGTGAGAGTGTAGTGGATCAGTTGATGATCTACAGTTTCTAACTGTACATTAGCAAAGAGGATCTACATAGGAGGGGTTTCTAATTCAGCAGCCAGTGAGTATGTAGTGATATGTAATTGTGTAAAATCCTTTAGTTTAAGCTTCCTCCTGCATGGACACCCTTATG